TCATAAATTAAATATTACTTATTCCGAAGTATTAAGTAATTATCTATATATTTATTTTATTATAAGATTAATAATATTGATTAATAATAATTTTTTTGTAGGAACTTATTCTTATCGTTGAATAATTATCTTTAATTTTATGACTTCAAGCGTTGGTTGACTTTATTTTTCTTGTTGTTTGAAGTATTTTCAAAATAAATAGCAATCAATACTAATTAAGACTTCGAGAAAAATGGGATTATATTTAAATCATAGGCTTTTGGGTAATGTATCGATATATTGAGTTTAAAAGCAAAAATATTTGCTCCACAATTGATGGACACAATAATATCGTGTAATTTGTCTCACAAAAGTGATTATACAGTGTATTAGTGGAACAACTCTATTAAATTGGTGAAAGGTCCTATGGTTTGTAAAGTTTTTATAGCAAGTTGTGACTTACCTATGAATTTGTGACTATCCGTGCAATTAACACCTGATAAATGTTTGTATTTTGAAAAATTTCGATGAAATAAATTTACTATTTACTAAATTAAATCACATTAATTTTATGCCTAAATTAATTATAATGAATTGAATAAATACCAAATTAAATGATATCAGTATTTATGATTTTAATTAAAATTTTACCAAAAATTTCAGATATTTTCTAATAATAATGATCGCATTTAGCATTTTTAGCATAAATACCATAAAAAGATTAATTCCGATGGCAAAGCATATATAAATTTGTGAGAATTGAGTTTTAAAGGGCACTTAAAACAAAATTAAAATGTATGTCCTTTCAATGTAACCCCTCCATGGGTTTAATACAGGCTATCGAATCAAATTTAGATTAATTAATCACAAATTTATTTCACTAAAACTTCCTCTGAGAGATGAGTTTAAAACTTAATTTCCCGAAAATAAGTTAAATGATACTGTATATAAAAATAAATATATGATATGTGTGTGTTTTCAAAATGCATTTTAGACTAAAAAACTTGTTTGCCAGTTGCGTTTTGTGTGCGAGTCTCACACGTTTAATCAATTTTTTCCTATTAATTTATCCGATCGTTTATTAAACTGAAAATATGATTTATATTTAATAAATATATTAAGCATTTCATGCGATATGTGGAGAAAAGTAAAGAAAAACGGTTTATTAATGTGTTTATCGAACTATTCATTGGGAAAAATGTTGGATAAAAAATTAATTTACATTTAATTCAATGCCTTATGAAAAGTAATTCAATGTTTAGGACGAATTAATTACAAGTTTTGTGGCACCGAAAAAATATTGTATATATAAAATTAATTTTGCGACCAATCCATCAAAAAATATGTTTACCTTTTTAGGGATTAATTTTTCTCTGGAAATAAAACAGTAAAATTAGTATTAATATTAAAACTCTTTGTTTGCCTGTAGTTTGTCAGCGCCGGGAGTTGTCATACAATAGTGCGGTACAAAAGTTAATTAAAGTGCATATAATTTTTAATAAAAATAGCTAATATGACTTAAGACTCGGGTGACATTTCATAACATTTGTTTTAATGAGAAAAATGTTTGAAATATATCTTAAATAATTAATAGAGAAATAAAATGATTTATTTGTATATAAATATTATATTAAATATTATACGAAGGTTTAGAGTACTAATAAAGTGCAGGCATTAGAGTACTAATAGAGTACTCTATTTCTTCCCATAAAATAATAACTCATTTTATATTTTTATATAAAGTATTATCCGTTTCGTAGTCTCTTTTTCTTTGCTAATCGCTTCAGTAATTACTTATTTAACTCGTTTTACACTTTAATTAATATATAATGATAACGACTAAATCCAAATCCAATTTCTTTTGGTCGTTATATAATCGTTGTTTTGTTGAGAAGTTTTTTGCGTTCAAAAATCGCTTCATTATTATTAGTGAGAAAATTTTCCTCAATTTTTGTTTGTATTTATCCGAGTGTTGTAACACTGATTAGAGTAGTAAACGTCTCCGTAATGTAATATTATAGTTATTATCACATGTTTATTCATACAATTTGTTATGTATTTGTTTTTGTGTGTTTGGTAATTCTTTATGTTTTCATAAATAAAATTTGTTTAACCGATTAATATTCAAAATATAAATGAAATAATCAATTATTTCTCAACTGTGTTGTGTGAATAGCAAAAATCAGTTTATCGTTTGTTTCAATCAAATCGCCAGAAATGATAGCTTTTGATTCAAATCGAGACAATTATTTATATGGTTTTTGATACGATAGAGAAAATGAAATAAAATTTTCATTAAATATACAAAAAAGAAGAAGAAATATAACACTAAACAAAAAATTATCATAAAATAAGTTTTCAATAAGTTTTTATTATTCTTTTCTCACTTTAATATCTCTTATATTTCACGACATATCACACGTAAAACTGCAAACGTTTCTCATTTTATTCATATTTTGCTAAACATTTATATTTATTATTAAAATATATGTTTTCATATCATAGGAAATAGGGACTGGTGTTCGGGAAATCCCATATAAAGTATGGTTAGAGAGAGAAAAAATGCAAACGTTTTCATCGATTACCAAAAATTAACAAATAATGCAAAAAAATGTTTTTATTTTCCAACAGAAAGTCAAGTGTCAAACAAGTGATTAGAATTGCATTTCACTGTTATATTGAGATTATTTGTGCGGAAAAATTGATTGTGTATTTCCGGCACTCGTTTTCACGGCATTTATGCTGTATATGAAATGTATGGCAAATAAAAATAAAATTTCGCCGAAAAAAATTTGTTACACAAAAGAATGGGATTTTATTATCATTATTATTATTATTACTACTATTTTTTGTGCTACAAAACGAAAGCCTTTACAAAAAAGATTTACACATTTTTTCGGTGAACTTATAAATCAAGAAATAAAGGAAATAAGAAATAAGAGGAGAGAGAGGATAGGAATCAATGCCCAGAATCTCATAAATTTTTAAATACTAATAAATTTATGAGCAAAAGGATAGTAAGGAATCCTCTTTTTCTTGCTAACTAAACATCTCAATGCCTACGCATAAGCACCGGTAGTTGTATAGCCTCGGAGTGCCCGTATATTACAGTGCAATTGTGACTGTCATGTGTCGAGAAATCGCTAGAATTTTAACATAAAATATATGTTTATATTCTTTGTGCTAACGATTTATGCCTCAAAAGATTAAATGTTAGATACGAGTGTGAAATCTCGAGTTCATTGAGTATATTACAATATATTATATGAAAATGTATTTATTTAAGAGAAATTTTCGCTACTTTTTAAACTCGCATTAGAATTGAAAATTGGCGTAAAAATTAAATTTTCAAACTCTCCCGAGAGTTGAGGTTTTTTATTATCTCAATGACTTTGGTTTGCTGTGTTTTCTCACATTTTTCTGGTGTATAAAAGTGTATAAATATTTCGCGAGAATCGATATATTTGCAGCAAAAATACATCCCAATGGTTCATATATTATGCATTCAAATGGCTTAAAATTCATCCGAGAAATGAATGTTAAGAATGTTGTCTTTGAAAAGCAAAAAAACCGTTTTCAAAGTCTTACTCGCAATACATGTATTAATTATTCAGCGTATTATTTATTTTCGCCATTAACATTAACATACATGACATTATTATAATGGTAACCGTAAATTAGAAAACAATTTTATAAATTGAATTTATATTATGTATATTCTGTTAGCACTCTATTTCATGAATGCATAAATATCTCTCAATTAATTTCACTGTAAACAAAGCCAAATATTTATACATAGAGTGCCCAACATTTGGTTGGTTATATTTCCGAGTGCGCCCCGGTATTGTATTTACATAGACTTTCACTCATTGTAGACTAAACACAAATAGTATAATAAATTAGATTAAACTCTCCTTGCAAATCAAACAAATAAATATTTGACTCTATTTTACGGCAATTTTTATTTTTTGATTTAATATTCATTTACGTAATAATAATATCTAATGGTTTAAAGTGAATTAAACTCTTAAGGCCAATAACTTTGGCTCATAGGCTATAAAAATAATTCATATATAAAAATATCCTTGGTGAGATCATAGAAATACTTTTCCCATACTTTGAGGTTAGTTTCGGTAGTTGAGTGTGTAATCCCTGACACAAAATCATTAATATTAGCCTAAAATCAATACTACTGTAGATAAAAGGAAAAGTATATTTGAATTAAATTCAATTAATTTTGTCAGTAATACCCGGCATTATATCCATCGTATCGTTAAGTTATGAATATTTTTTATGCAAAGGAGTCGGCAATCGTTTGTTAGCATTAATTTTCGCAACCATTTCTCACATTTCTTTTGCCTTCGGATCCCAAATCTCCGGAGATTTGGTTTTTTTGCATGAATTGAGAGGAAAAAACAAAATTAAGAAAATATTTATTAAAATCTCCTTTACTTTCAAGAATCCTAAAACTCATTATTCAAGAATATTTACTCTCTCTCTCTCTCTCTCACTCTCTTTCATCTCAAAAACTACTCATTAAATGGTATGAAAATCTTTAGCGAAAGTGGTTTTGGAAATAGGATTTCCAGCAAAAACTACTCCAAGTATACCAAAAACGACTCATCAAATAGTTTTGCATAAATTTGTTGTTTATTTTGGGTTTTTATTGAAAAAAACCAAAATATTTTCGTATAATATATGAGTTGAAAAGTCATAAAAACGAGTCCATCACAAGTGCACTGGGATTTGATTTGTTTGACTACCAAAACCAATTAAGTTCGCTATTTATTGGTTTCATAAGACAACAACAAAACGAAAAGTTTCAATAAAAATGTTTTCTTCGCTTTCAAACGGAAATTCTTAACCAATGATTCAAACAAAACAAATTATAAACAATAAAACTCTGTCATCGCATGAAAGATGAATACATTGGATATGATATCCAAATAAGAAAACTACACAAAAAAAACTCTTTTTGTTATTCGTTTGGAAAGGAAATGCATTTTATATGCGAGAAAAATGGCAAATATTTTATGAGAGTGAAGCAAATAATGATTTATAAAGTGATGATAAATGGTTTTGAAAAATTCATTTGCATTTGCAGAATATAAAAACAGATATAAACTTTATTATTACGTCAAATATTATAACTTATTGTTAGCGCACAGCAACTCAATCAACGACTTGCGCTTAAACCTATTGGCCTCAGCTATCACTTCTTGGAGCAGTTGGTCGCGAAGGGCCGCTCGCATTGTCGACAATTCCCTCAGGAGTTCATCGAAATCTAAATAAAGACACCAAAAATTCATTACAACTTTTATGACATTAAATCAAATCTCAATCTCTAGAGACAATGGTCTCACTACTCACTCCTGCCGGGCCTTCGGACCAATTTAAACAGATATCTCTTTAACTCAAACTCTTCGGGAGTGAACTGAACTTTCTTCGCGTCTTTGAGCCCATTGTGGGTTCCGTTGTGTTCGCTATGATTTGTAATGACTCGCCCGTTGGCCACCGTTTTCAGTGTCGTTTGCGGGGACGACGCCGGCAGTGGCGACACGGGAGGCACGACGGGTATGGATGATACGGAAGGCGGGACGGGTATGGGCGACAAGGGAGGGGCGACGACGGGTATGGGTGACACGGGAGGTGCGACGACGGGTATGGGCGACACGGGAAGCGCGACAGCTATAGGCGACACGGGAGGCGCGACAGGAATGGGCGACACGGGGGGCGTCGGCAGCGCGGAAAACGCTGTGGGCGATGGCGGCGGACTAGGAATCGGACTTAAAGGCCTCAGCGGAAAGTCTTTAGGCAGTGGCCCGGGTTTGCGCTTCGGCTTCGGGCCGTTCAGGTAGATGTCGGCCGGCGATCGTTTGCCGGCCCTCATGGGCGACGAACCGCCGTTCCCGCCCCCACTGCCCACCAAATCGATGTCCGTCTCGTCAATCATCATCATTCCGCGCTTATCCACTTTGAACGGATTGCCAAACATGTGCTGCCGGACGGGCGTCGACTCCAGTTCCCGCAACGGCACCGGCATTCGTTTCAGGTACTCCTGATAGTTACCCATTTGGCTGATGGGCAGACTGTGCAGCTGGTCGTCGTCCTGGTAGCGGATGGCGTTCGTGTGCCTCTGCATAAAGTTGGTGCGCATGCGGAAGATCTGGTCCAACAGTTCCGAGCGGTTTATGTCAAACGCGTTGCGATAGCAGTGGGTCTTCGAGTCGGAGCCGTACTTATCGCGGAATCGGATGACAAACCCCGGGAACTCATTCAACTCGTTCTTCAGGCCCGCGAACCTCTTGGACAGCAACGGATTGGAACAGAGGCCCAGTTCCGACATTTTACGCATATTTGGTCCGTTGCTCACCACCCGACTGCCCTCCAGGGGGCCGCCCGGCTTAGCGCCCGTACCCACGGTGGCCACCAGCTTCTCGTACTCGGCTTTCGCTAAGTTCTTCAGCCGTTTCAGGTAATTGAGTACCGGATAGGACAGGCAGTTCTCCATGTTGTCGGGCACCAGGTTGGGCGCACCCATACGCTGGAGCGCCCGCTTCAGGGGCGACGCGTAATACAGTGGCATGAGTTTGAGATAGTTGTCGAACTGGACCTTCCACTCGCGCGTAGGCTTTCCCTGGTGCAACTTGAACAGGTCCTCCAGCAGTGGCAGTAGTATCGGGTAGTTGTAGGGCAACACAAACAGGTTAACGCACGTGAGGTTAGTGCTGGCCTTCAGGTAGCCGAACGGTAGGCCCAATTCGGTGCTCTTGTGGCTGTTGGCGACGAACACCTGCCACGCGACGTGCGGCTGTTTGCGGGACAGTATGTGCGCCGTGAGGGGACTCGGCTCGAGCTCGTACTTATCAAACGGCAGGTTCTCGATGACCGTCGGCTCCGAGTCGGCGCACGTGAACTTCACTAACGGATGAGCGGTTCGCGGCTGCAGTGTCGGGCAGTTCACGTCCGGCCAAAAGGACTCCGGTATCGGCCAGTGGCCCACGGAGTAGCCCTTTTGGGCCGACCGTTGCACGTAAATGAGTTTGCGGGTCGAGTGCCACGACTTGCCGCCCATCGTATCGTTTGACAGATTGTTTGTATTGTTATTCGTATTATTATTATTATTTACACTTAAATTCATTGCAGTCTTATTTAAATTATTATTCACATTATTATTATTACTATTAGTACTACTATTGAGTCCATTCAATGTATCACATGTGTTGCTCACCACCACCGACACCTCCTCGTCATTGGGTATGATGACAGGGGGGTCGGGGCCCACCTTTTCAAAGTTAATCACTACACCGCCGTGTATTCGTTGGATCAGTTGGTCAATACTGGCCATTAGGGTTCGCTGTGAGGTCACGCAATAGGAACGGCCTAAAAGGGGGTCACAAATAAGAAAAAAAACACAAATATTAACACCAATTACTGTTATATAATCACCAATTGATTGACACAAACAAATCAAACATAATTAGCATTTCATTTATTATTAAACACATTGTCGTAGCGGTTGTGTCGACACAATAGCCATCTGTAAGAGATATGCGAGTCGGAGATCACTCGACATTAAAAGCTTTATTGTCTTATTCCCAATACGTAGAGCACGTGTGCGCTGACAACACATACACTCGTAGGGCACAGACAGATCTGGTCGCCCCTATAGTATAAGGCATACGGGAGGCGATTGAGTGTCATTGTCAGTAAAGTGTGTCCACAATGTATACATACATACATTCATGTCATTTGTTAGTAATCTATAAAAACTAGTTTCAAATGAGTTGTCAAATCGCAATCAACGGCCGATTGGACAGTCATGTGAGCGGTAAGCCTATGATCTCCACGACAATACGTACCTCCCGTGACATCACACATGGCGTCGATGGGCGACTCGTCTGTGGGCACCGCGAAGTTAGTATTGAGTGAATTGGCGCTATCGGTGGGCGAGTTGTAAGTGCCCGTCAGCCGCAACACTATGGAGAACAGCCTCTGATCCCACCGGAAGGGCTCTTTCGTGAGCTCAGAGCCGGGCACCGACGAGTGCATCGGTAGGTTGAGGTCGTCGGACACGCCGCTGTTGGTGCAGAGCCGGCCGCCATCGGTGATCACGATTATGATGGACGGCTCCAGGAAGAAGGGGCACCGGCCCTGACCGTAGGTGTCGATCCCCGTCTGCATGCGGTTTATGTTCAACAGATCGAAGGCGTTCTTGAGCGCCGGACCCATTGTGGTCATACCGGTGGCCGTCAGGTTCTTTAGCTCGTTCATGAACACCACGTGCGACTCCTTCCACCCGGCCTACCGGTGCCGAGCGATGATAAGATAATGCAAGCGATTAGTGATTATTATTATAATAGCCATCGGTGGTCACCGCACACGAGATAATGATCACTCACTTTGACATTGTTTGGCGATTCCTCGAAAGTCAATAACATGTATCGGTCGCCACGGCTAGCGATATCTCGCTGTCGGAACTGTTTGTGTGATAAACAGGCAAAAGACATATTAATGTTTGAAAAACTTTGCAATCAATCAAAAACTTTTTTCTTGTTTGACATTTCATTTAAAACCCAATTAAATGACAAATATATCGACAAATACTGACATCTATTATGCGTTCAGCGCGATAATTGGTGTCAAAAATAAAAACCCCACACATATAACGTTACACTAACCACTCCCCTACGGAGTAAATAGCGAGTGGGGGGCGTGAGTTCACGGCATACGCTAACACTACACAAACGCACATATCTCGCCGTACCACTACCTCCCAAACAAACGTAACGTTATATGCGTACGAAACGGCAGTGTTTACACCGTAACACACAATAAATGGCGACTCAATGGCACAAATATAGGCGTCAATAATAAACGGGTAAATAAATGTGGCAAAAATCGGGGGTCGCCTCCCGGGGGGTCATACCTTAAGGAACTTCTCGACGGCATCCTTAGCCACGTCTAGAAGGGTGGGTCGGGCGCCGAAGTGGGTCCTGTGGTTCATGGAGCCGCTCGTGTCCACCAGAAACACAATGATAGTCATGACTGCTATGAGCGCTGAACGGAGACTGAAAGGCAACCCAAACGCTGCGAACACAACACACACTCACACTCTCAGAGTCTATGCATAGCGTACTGTACGCGCACTGCCTATGCCTATGCCCTCTCACTCTCGCTCTCTCAGTCTCTCTCCCTATCTCTCCCAGTAATCTCTCGCTCCCTCTCACTCACTGACAGTCCTATCCCTATCCTAAGGCTTATATAACACTATTGTATCGGAAAAAAGTCTTAAACATAATTATAACTATAATTAATATATACGGTGTCTATTACATAGTGTACGCCACCATACGATGGCATACCTTTGAGAGATATAGTGAACTTTGAATGCCCTCCCATAGAGTGATACATGTTATAGTGAGCTCCCAGTGCTCTCTCCAGTTCCTCCTCATAGAGAAAACATTAGCCTTTTCTCTCTCTCTCTCTCTCTCT